TTGGTGTGTTTGCGTGTGTTTTCATTAAAATTACCAGTTGTAGTGCAGGTCAGTTTAAGTTTATGTTGCGTAAAAGCGAACCGTCAACCCTATAAAAGAGTTTGGCTTAGCCCTAGCCCCAACCCTACAGCATCTACCCTTAGGCCCCCAAGCCCAGAAACAAGCCCGTGCCAAACCAATCACAACCACCAACCCAACACCGCCTTAAGGCTCCTTTGCTCCTTTTCACTGGCAAAACGGTCTGTGCACCAGTTTTGGTGCAATGCCTGCAGCTCTCATGCCTTCAGCAGGCACGCTTTTCAGCAAAACATGTGTTTGCTGCTTTGCTGCCTAGTCAACATCCATGCCTAGTCAACATCCATGGCACCCTCCAGAAAATTGTTTTTCTTTGCCACCACCTGGGCCTTATCCAGGCCAGCCCCCTGAGCAAAACCCATGAGCTGGTCGACCAAGGCAGCATGGTCACTGTGGCCACCTTGAACATTCACCAACAAGTAGCACTTGGAAGCCATAGTTTTCGTTGGCAACAGAAGCAGGCTATGCATTTCTTGTCGCAAGGTTGACCACTAAAGTCACCCCAATCCTGAGAGGAACCTTCCTTTTTCTTTTGGAGCTTGAGCTGGGGCCAGACAATGCCTTCTGCAGGCAAGCAAAGTACAACGCAAACAAAAAAAACACAGTCACAGGCCTCATGTTACAGCAGGCTTACAGTAAACCAAAAGAGCTGCAGAATGAAACATTCACTGAGCAACAGGTCCTTTAGCAAACCCCAACATGCAAAAAACGCTGCCAAGTCACTTTCATCCTTCTCTGCAGCCTCTTTTGACCATGCAGGTTCGTGCGCATGGTCATTGCCATCGAAGAAGGTGTGAACCTTTTGCCTTGTACAGGCGGGGCTCTTGGAAAGGCAAGATCAGCTGGGAGGGTGGCCAACGAAGAAGGTGTGAACCAAATGGCTTTTGTGGGCAAGCCTTTGCAAAGGCAAGATCAGCTGGAAGGGTTGTTTGCCCACTTCTTGATGGGAGCCAACTGCTTCTTGGCCTCTTTGTGGGCAGCAGCAATGGTTTGCTGAAGCTTGTGCCAACTCATTGACTTTTCCTTCCAAATTGTCTGGTGGCAGGTCACTTCTTCACAGGAAAGCTTAAAAAGGCATGTGCATGTTTCTTCTTGCTCTCCTCCAGCTTGGTCTGAAGCTTGCACACCTGCTCCAAGTAAGCTTGCTTGAGCTTCTTGTGCTCATTGTCGACAATTGCTTCCAACTGGGCTTTGAGCATCTCCATCGCACTGATCTCAGCAGTCAAGCCGGTGATGGCTGCCTTTGCTTTCTTCGAATTAGACTTGTACAGTTCCTCATAAGAAGGTGTGGGCTCTTCTTTGTAGATTCCTCCTCTTTGGGCTCGTCATCCTCAGCCTGATCCAGTGCTCATCTTGGTCTGGGGGCCTCCAGACAAGGCCAGCCTCATGCCATTGAAATCATGCTCTTCCACAGTGTCGACACTCTCTTGGAGCTTCAAGCCTTTCTTTTCTGTCTTGACCATCTCAAAGGTTTTGATGGTGTACCGGTACTGCTTCACATCGAAAGCAGCCAAAGCAGTGTCTTCATGAGGCCTTTCCTTCGGGCCAGCCACACTGGCATCACATAACTCCACAAACCGAAGGTTTGAGAGCAGGATCCCCTTGCTTTCTGCCACTTACTCCTTTGTATACCATCCAGGCTTCTCTGTGGACTTTTTGGTCTGCATGTCCTCATCAAGTTTCTGGACTCCCTTGGAGCTGACTGAAGGGTCGAGGGAGTAGGTGTTGCAAAAAAATAACGCTTTTCTTGTTGGGTTTTGCACTTCTTGTACATACCTGGCAAATCACTTTCACCCTTCTCTGCCAGCCTTTGGAGCTTTTTAGCCATTGCTACAGCATCAGGTTTTGGTATGGGTGGCAAAGGCTCACTCTTGATTTTCTCTATGCAGCCATACTAGGGTCAGCCTTCACCAGGCTAACCTCTCCAGGCATGAGTCTCTGGAGCCTTTGGTTTCGGGGACATATCTGGAGTAGGTCTTTTCATGCCTTGTGCCAAGATGCTGACTAGAGTCTAAACAGATACTACAGAGCGAGAGTTTCCAAGGTTTCCCTGGAAAGTTTCCCTTGGAAAGTTTTAAAAGGCAACATATAAAACATGTCCCTAGGAAAGTTTTCCCTAGAAACGTTTCAAACCTAAAAACCTTATACTTGATTTAGCAAACATATGTTTATATATATATATATTCACATATTTTACACATATATATATATAAATCTATCTAATATTTTTTGGTTCGCGCTCATATTTTTTTTGAGTCCCAGGCCAGGTTTTACTGGCAGGGGAGAAGCTTGTGCTTCTGCTGTTGGTGCCTTGTCCAGGCAAGCCTTTACAGGGATTTTGTGGAGAGCCTTGCCACCTACTGGTCTGAACAATCTACAAAGTTGAGGCTCTCCACTGTCGAGGTTTCGAATGGCCACCAGCTGAGATGCCGTTATGTCCTGCCATTGACCACCTGCACTGATTCCAGCACGGCAAGCCAGCATCTGGCATGGGGGCATCAGTGCCTACATTTTGCCTTCTCCAGGCAAGCCAGCATCTGGCATAGTGGGCTCAGCTGGTGGCTCAGAAGGTGGAGCTGGAGACTCCTCTTCTTCCTTGACCACATTTTTGGATGAGAATGCCATTTGCTGGCAAGCCAGTTGGCATTTCACCGCATCCATTGCTTGTGGGTGGCTCTGACACAGTCTTCCTAGGGTCATCAACTGGGGTGTCCACTGCAACCTCTACAAAAGGGAGCTTTGTGAGCCAGTGCCCCATGCCTGCAGCTCTCACATGGTTTGCATGACCTCTTCCACTGGGAACTTTTGAGTGACTTCTGCAGGCAAGCCAGAACCTGGCACACATCTGTCAGGTGGTTGTTTGAGGTTCCTTCTGATCTGGCTTCTGTACCCTCGATTGTCATATCAGTTGTTTCTGCTCAGCACACTGGCCAAGATATGCAAAACTGTGGCCATTGCACTTTCACTGCCTTCTGCAGGCAAGGGGGTTTGACCCCATAGAGGCACTGCCTGGTGCAGGCTGGGTGCCTGAGCTCTGGGAGTTTGCGCCCCACATGGGTTCTGACCATTCTTCCTCTTCTTCTGGAATGCCAGGCGTGTGTCACCTCACCTTTTTCTGTTTGCCTTCTCCAGGCAAGGGGCTTGCCCCCACATTTGTTGGAGGGAACCTGTGAGGCCTTAAGGGAACCTCAACCAACCTGACCCCTTCATTGTTGCCAATCCTAGTACTGGGTTGCAAAGGGTTGTGTGGTGAGCACAGGCCAGGCAGGTTGCTGCCATCCATCTTGCTGCCACTCCCATTGAGACTGTGGGCTGTGCCATCCATCCCCAGACCAGCCCTGTCCATGCCATTGGTGGCCATTTACTGGCCAGCGAAGAGCTACAGAAAGATTTCAGGGTGATCACACTTGCCTGTGTGAGCATGACCTCCTCATCTGCTTCTTCCACTTCAGCAGGTGGTGCCTTGTGCAGGCAAGGCTTTTCACCCATGGGCTGATCTGCCTGAACAGGCAAGGTGGCACCACCAGCACTGGAACTTGAAGCTCCTTTGCTCCCACCATGCAAAGCAACCAAGAGCCCTTTGTACCACTCAGGCATCAATGAACCTGTCTTCATATTTCGACCTTTTCTGCCCACATGCCAGAGCATCCACACAGCTTTGGGTGCTCCTGGGGAAAGCCTTGAAAACTGCTTTCCTTTCCAGCTGTTTGCTCATCCCACCACACACTACAAAGTTAAACCAGCCATGGAGAAAATTTGAGTGTTTTTCTCCTACTTCCTCCTCTGTTCGAAGAAACATCTCTTCTGTGATGCCATGGGGAAAAGTTGCTTTCAGCACATGGGTCGCTTTCAATGTGGCATCCTCTGCAGGCTTTGTCGAAGCAGAGCCACCCTGGACTTCCTTGGCTTTCTCTGAAATAAATACCTTCATCTCTGTGCCTCTCTGCAGGCAAGCCTTGCACAGGCAAGAGCTGCAAAACTAAGATAGCTTGAGCCACAGTGCTGCCACACAATTGAAAAATCAGATCACCACAAAAGTTTGAAGTGGAGCAAGAATTTGTTCCCAATTATGTAAAAAATTAGGTAGATACAGAAGACTGCAAACACAGTTCAAGGCAGTTTCAATATGATGCAACATTTCTGCAAATAAAACAAAATCTTAAAAGCTCAAAAAAATCGCTTCTAGCAGCTCAAAAATTGAGCTTCCAAGAAGCTCAGTTTTTGAGCTTCTGGAAGCTTCCTCAAGTTTAAAACACAAAGAGTGGAGAAGCTCAAATTTAAAGCTGCCAGCTCAAAAAATTAGCTTCCAAAAATTGAGCTTCTAAAAACAAGCTTCTCGGAAGATCAGGGAGGTTGGAGGCCATCGCTAGTAGGTTGGAGGCCATCGCTAGTAGGTAGTACTAGGTAGGAGGCAATTGCTACTAGGGTGGAGGCCATCGCTACTAGGGTGGAGGCCATCGCTAGTAGGTTGGAGGCTATCGCCAGGTTGGGGGCCATTGCTAGCAGGTTGGAGGCCATTTGGAAGCCACTCTCCAACCGCAACCGGCTCCTGGTCCCGGAGCCTCACCCATTTGGCCCAAACAGCGGAACCGGTGTTTGGACCTTCCGGCATTTTATACAACCGCTCACCAGGTCGTGCCCGAAGAGACCCTTCTCGGTGGGCGAAGGGTTTGGATCTTTCGTTAAACTCATGTGTATTTCCTTTGTTCACCCCATCTGGATCCATGAAGACCACCCCCTCGATTTTGGAATCCTTTTTTCACCCATGAAGATCCGAAGTCACTCGGGGGATTTTTCCCTTGGCTGTCGACGCGTCCCGTGGCTTTTGGGCTGAAAAGAACGTTTCCGAACATGCAGGCTGAGCCCAAGGGATGGACTCCGAGGCCCGAACGTCATTGTTGCGGTTTTTGTTTTCCACCCTGGTCCTTGTTGGATTGAAGCCAACGACATGTGGTTTCTTGCCAGCTATTGGAGGTGTTCTTCTGGTCGAGGAGCATCGCATTGATTTGGGCCATGGTCACAAGAATGTTGCCCACGAAACTCTCCACGTTGGGTGCCAAAATGCTGCTGACAAGCTTGTCAATTGAAATGCCACTGGTTGCCGAGCGATAATCACCACTGAGGTAGCCTCTTCGGTCATGTGGTGGATAGACAACAGAAAGGAGTTCAAGCTCTAAAAATGTAGGATCTGGAGTCCACCACTAGATTTGCAATTTCGGATGGATGAATGGGAATTCTGTGTAAGCACTCCAAGAAGCTGCCACACCCAAAGCAAAAGGCATGTTCCAAATGGTCGCCTTCTGCATATACTCCTCTAAGCTCCACCCCGGCCCTGCCATCACATAGGGAACACAAAGCGAAGTGTTAGCTCGGCAACTTGGTGCAATCCACCAGTAGCCATCATCGCATCGTGCCGAATATGAACCTGAAGTGCTGTTGAAGACCGTCCCATTCGCATCGCCGGTGAAGTGAATGTGTCTTCTCATGCTTGCATCATCTTGCATATTCGACACGGGGTCGCTACATGGCCTGATCAAGGCTGGGGAAAGACCATAATTTAATAGTTTCTAAATCTATATATAATAGTGATGGCCTCCAACCTAATAGCAATGGCCTCCAACCGGCCTGATCAAGGCTGTGGAAATCATTGAGATTGAATCAAAGTACTTGGAAGGCTGATACCATGAGGCGTTCCAATTGCGGAAGTACTGCAGCGCCACGCCTTCCGTCTTGTATGCTTCCTTCTGGACTGGCTTCGGAATAAAGGCAGACACCACCCCATCATACCCCATATTGCCCAAATTCTTGGCTGCGACATTGGGGTATTTGTCTTGAAGCGATTGCCACGCCAAAGGGTAGAGGTCTACCCAAATTTCCATACTGATGTGGTACTTGCTGACCTCAACTCTGCAAATGAGCGGACTAATGGCAAGGGAGTCATTCCCAGAAACGTGTACATGGTACAAATACATGCACACAAAGATATAACACGATATAGCAGTCTTCACATTCATCTACTAAAGTACCACTCCAAAAACGATTCAAAATGCATTTTTCGGTGCCAAGGCGTGTGGTTTCTTCAGCTTCGATCCCCCCATTCTCAGAGCCAAACTCAGAATGTTAGAGACGAGTTTGGAGATGAGGGTTTCTCCCTGTTGGTCTTGCATTTGCTTCGCTGGTTTGAAAGGCGCTCCAAACTTAAAGTCGTTTTTTGGTGCACTTTTTGCGACTTTTGTGGCATTGTTGACATGATCCTGATCGACTCATTCATTTGTTCCCGCAATGTCTGTGGGAATTGCGCAGGCGTTCCAGCTGTTGAGTGCACATCTTCTATGTTGGGCGTGGGCACAGCATGTCGAGATTTCTGTGGCTTTCCAATCTTTTGCTGTTTGGGACACTGGATCCCTTTCCATCCTTTAGATGAACCTAGCGCGGTTCATCCGCCAGATCAGAAAAACCATATTATGGGACCCCATATGGGTGGACCCTACGATACTAAATACCATGCCACTATACATGCCCATATCAAACACATGTCTAAGAGCTTGATCAAACATGCACCACGACACGGGTCCTGCCGAAGCCACCAAAAACCGAAGCCACTCAGGTGGCACTTTTCAATCCGATGCAACGGGCGACCGGGCTTCGATGGCTTCGACCTGTTCCCTTTCCTCCCCCGTGTGGTCACGGTTCTTACTAAGGCTGGATGTTGATCGAGGGTCGCATGTTCGGCGTGTCATTGTTTGTTCCAGCCCGTTTTCCCCAGCAATGGCCTCCAACTTCGTATGGGAGATGGATCTCAGGGTTTGCCGTGTGGAACAGCCCCAAGTTCTGGGATTTGCTGAGTCGGAAAACGGGAAGAAAAGAACACATAAGCCCCATGCAGTTCGGGGATTGAAACAGTTCGGGAAAATAGACCATGTTTATCAAGCAAAACCAGGCAAAGCACTGCCTCGGAGTTGCAGCCCTGATTGACGGCGCTGGTTGGATCCGTACAACCACTGAGGGCGTAGAAACTGCTCGGACTGCTCGTGCCACTCCCCAGGCTGATGTTGAAACCAAAGATCTCCTGGCAACTGGATTTGGATTCTTGGACCATTTCCATGTCCGACCCCCACCCCAGGTTTTGTTGACCCGTCTCGCAGGAAGGGAAGACGTGTTCGTTTCCACAAGGCGGAGAGCATTCCACTTGTTCTCCCCAACGATGGTTCCCACCAGAATGTTGGCAGCGGAGGACGCGGCCCAATCTGGAACGTAGATACCAATGGGGTAGGATTCACCATTGGCATTCTCCTCAAACGAACGCCCTGCTGATTTTTGCGGCTAAGAGAGTGGAGTGTGACCGCGGAGGCGGTCAGTCACGTTCCATGTTTGGCTTTCGGATTTGAAATCGGGGCCATGCCATCCACCTAACCATGACCATTTCAGGTAGTGTAATTCCTTTTGAACAATGTAACTATCTTTCTTTGCCCGCCTTCACTCCGATCTCTGATGGGAAGACCTGCTTCTTCCGATCCCCACGCTGGTCGTCTGACTCGAAATTTTTGCAAAACGCTGCGTATCGCAGAAAAATGAATCCTTAATGACCAAACATGTTTCATTCCCAAACATTTCCAATCACTTGACCATCCATGTCTGCAACCTGATTTGCACTGTTCTTGGACATCGAGTGAGGTTCACAGAATCATCTTCTCAGAAACCTGAATGGACCCCATCAACCACGCAACTTTCAGTCATTTTTCCACTGAAACTTGATCCTTTTTTCATGAATAGCGTCATGAATGCCGGTCCTCAATCCACCCCAAAACACAGGACACGTGCGGAGATTTCATGGTCGAACGTCCAGAAATGGTCACCACCTATTCTCCGATCATAAGCAATCGAACGGCGGGCTATTGAAGACAAACAAGTGGCCTATGCCATGCCGCTAGGGAAGCTCGTCACTCTACCCTGGAATAATCCCGAGTACCTATTAATAAACGCTCCCCAAGGAAAAAAAACGCAACGTCCGAAACCCTAAATTCGGTTTATATTTGGTTTTAAATTACCGCCCTTTCAAAACGCTACTAAACTACCAACATGGTTGATTTTGGGGGTAATTTTTTAAAATTGGGTTCCCCCAAAACTCCCTCGTGACAAGCCGCCTTTACCCCAGCCGGTTTTCCTTTCTCCAATGGCACGGACTCACGCAAACGCACTTGCCTCCGAGGTCGTGCAAAACCGCTTGGCACAGCGACATCACCTTTCGAAAGCTTTGGTTGTTAGCCTAATGAAGATTCAGTATTCTAATAAGGTTTTTGTAGGGGAAAAGGAAGACCCTTCGATCTGGAAGCTTGTTGAATTTTTGATACGAGTTTACTGGTCTGCTTTTAACGAAGTTGATAAGTTGATTTCGAAAAATATTGCATAGGTGCTGACTAGGTGCTGACAGACAGACAAACCCTCGTTACTCCACTCCACCACTAATAAGGTTGAAGTTGATAAGTTTTAAGTTGTTATTCAGAAGCCTCGATCCTAATAGCAATGGCCTCATTTGCAAAGAGTCAGATTTAATAGCTGGAACCCTGAGGTGAACACCATCTTGGATGGTCTGTGGCTGTTGGAAACAGATAAATATCAAGTAGTCACGACGCACAGCATCACTTGGTGGGCCCGGCAATCAGAAAAAGTATTTGATGTTTTTAAGGAAAACTGTGATCTACCAAGTGGCGAGCGTCGCAAGCCCTTACAACCATCACTACCGCTAGCGATTGCTCTAGTGGGATTTTGATTTCGCTGGAGCACCCTCAAAGTAGCAACGGTGGCAGTCACTTGTTGCGAAGGACAGTCTTTTGAACCAGGTCCAGTGAAATCATGACCCCGCTGTGCGTCTCACTACCGCTAGCGATGGTTCTACCAGACTGCGACCGTCGCAACCTGGTAGATCACAGCTTCCCTTAAAAGCACCAAATATATTTTTTCCGGATCAGTGGCTCTGTGGGTACCTCCAGAGGTTGTCACCTGAGGTTGAAGTGGATGGAGTGGAATGGAGTGGGGTGGAGTCCAAGCTCCAAAGTGATTGTTATTATTATAAGGTCCTGACTGGTGGGGTCTTTGAAAAGATATTTGAGAGATGTGACCCAATTGAATTGGGAATGGTGGAGTGTGGTGGAGTGGACTGGACTGGACTGGATTGGAGTAACGAGGCTTTGCCTGTCTGTCAGCACCTATGCAATATTTTTTGGAAATCAACTTATCAACTTCTTTAAAAGCAGACCAGTTTAATAAAGGACTTTATATAAAACTTTTCTGGATGACTTTTTGGTTTTGAAGCTCTTCCCAGGTGACCCTATTTTGGACCCCCCGATTTCAGGGACCCCCTATTAAAAAAATGCGACCGAGTTTTTTTAATAGGGGGGGCCGTGTTTATTGATAGGTGGACGATGGTGGACGGGATTATTTATCTTTCGACTATTCTGATGACATGGTTGAGTTGTTGGAAAAGAATGGAAAACAACGTTTCATATCATTCATCATTCATCATCCATCATCCATCACTCGGATCCGAATCCTTGACGAACACCCTCCCTCCCCGGCACCTGACCTGTATGAACCACCCGCCGCGAACGACATCCGATCGCGAACCTCCGCAACGTCTCGCGACTTGAAACCAAAGAGGCCAAGTTCTTCCGCTCGTGGGGTGGGATACCGCCCTCGAGGCAGACTCCGGTGACCACGTGGACAAGACCTCAGCTGGCGACGAGTCGGCCGGTCTGCGCAGCCAGCTTTTTGGCGATTTCGGATGGGGAAGCGGCGGAAGCGGCGAACCACTGGTTAGTTTGTAGCTCAGAGGACACTGACCAGGCTGGTTTGAGGTCAGGGAGCCTTTCCTTTTTCTGTCGCTCAGAGTGCAACACTTATTAAGCACTCCTTCAGCCAAGATGCTGGCCAAGACGGGAATGTTCATCTCCTCTCCTTGTGCAAATCGCAAGTAGAAGGAGCTTGAAGCAAAATGCTGCACGCCACATTGGTGGCTCCTTCCTTTTCCCGACCCCGACGCCATGCTGCCCAGAAAGGGATTTCGTTCACAGTGAACACCCCTCAAGAACCGCATTTGCTTCAGGTCCAGACGCCTTAATGTTTGAACACCCCGATCACCCCTGCTATCTAGATAGTCAAGGATTTTTACCCAAACACCACTGGCATGGGACTGCCATATTTGTCTACAATTGGGGTGGTTGAGTCTCTCAGGGGTCGTCCCACAAAGACGGCCATGCCAGTCGTGTCAGGATCCACGCGGCTCCGGAAACCGCTCCGGACGAGGCGAACCGGTCGCGTACTGGGGCGCTAAGCGGGGGCGCTCCGAAAAGGACGTCCGCGGTGCGAAGACGTCCGTCCGTGGTGAAATGGATGGGGTTCCGGAGAGACCGCAGCTCCAAGGAATGAGAAATGGTCCTAGTAGCGATGGCCTCCACTGCCAGCTTCTTGATCTCCGGTGGAGACTTTCATTTGAATTGGACCGGTATCTTAGTCACAATGTTCGTCAGCAACTCCACCCATATTTTTGCTCGCACTGCAACCTCATTTTCTTCGGATCGGAACAACACGCAAAGTTCTGCGCTGAAGTTCTGAAGGTGCAAGCGGCAAGGTTACTAGTAGCTTCTTGTTACTAGTAGCGATGGCCTCCAACCTACTTGCGATGGCCTCCACCTAATAGCGTTCTTCCATATATAGAAGCAAGAATTCAACCACCTCCTTCAACGCCTCGCCAGATTGGCCCAGATCAGCACGCGAGAAGCTCTGAGACGGCGACCCACACTCGGTCACGCAGCTCGGGCACAAGGTACAAGCGGTGATCTTCGTCGGACATTTTAATCGGAAGAAGATTGACACTATAAAGGATCCGACTCGACCCTCCCGTTCGCGGAAGCCTATATAACAGGGGTCGGTTTGGGGCTCGGGGCCCCAAACGGTTGACCAGTCCAGATCCTTGGGATTGTTGACGCCGCGCTTCCAACCATTCGGTTCTCTCGCATCGTCCTCGATGTGTCCATCCAGTTAGGCTTTGAGTGTTCAGTTCGACCAGACCTGACCCGGTGCCGAACTCCAAGTTCGGTCACTTGCGGGGAGTTCCCTTTTCTACCGCAAGAAAATGGTGAAGTGACATCCATCAGGACCCGTAACCTGGGGTGCCGTTTTGGGATACCTCGTAACTTGGGATTAGTACTTTCCGGCTCTCATCGTGGTCCTGTTCGGAACACTTGGAGGTCTGCATGGATGTCAACATGCGTGAGATCAATCAAAAAGGATTCAGCTTGTTCTTTTTTGGGCTGGTCTCTCTATGGTGAGACACCGACACACCGACACACGGTCGAATCGAGACGGAGGAAAAAGCATGCGCGAAAAAGAACGCGGAATTGGCCACTTTGGTGCCTGGCCCTCGACGCAAACGGCGCGAAGGGCATGAAATTGAGATGGTTGTGGATCAAAAGCAGACCGACTGGCTGGTTGACTTGCAAGGTCCTTCGCTACCTGCAACCAGGGCGGGCTTTGTTACCCATTCGACTTCGTGGAGTGGCGGAACAGGTCCAAAACACAGGCGACTTGGACTAGCAAAAACTGAATGGAATGATCAGGCTATATATAGATTCCCTAGGGATCCAAGTACCTCGTCAAGAGGTACTTGGACCCTCCAAACCCACCCCAAACACCTTCTCAGAGGGTACTTGGATCCTTAGGGACTATGAATGACGATGTTCATCGTTTGGGGGGTTCACATGGTTCCTTTTCTCTTGGCCACAACCATTTCACGA